TATTCTGAAGATTATGTTTTCCCCATCATGAGCACTTTAGCCTTAGTTCATATTTTTTTTTCTTCTATTAAATCTTTTTCTTGTATCCATGGGCAGACTAAAGTTTAGAGATAACAACTGCTTATGTGTTATCCCATAAATGTTGATCTCCGCACACTCAATCCAAGACACAGAGGGATTAAACATTAGGTCTAACTAGTGTGTGTGTGTGTGTGGGGGGGGTGTGGTTGCCTAAAGATACTCATCTGAAAGCCGGTATAATGGTCGAGGCTGTTGTTCTGGGACTCTTTCTAGGTAAAAAGATAATGCCCATTGCACTTCAAAACTGAGAAGGATGGGTGCCACTCAAATACACATTGGAATCTCTGGGAAACTCTTTGAATGGATGGGATGGAGATTTATTCTTTCCAGTTTTGGCGCTAGGGGAAAACATTGATTCATAAATGGTGCAGTTCATTGAACCCACTGGGATCCCCAACGGGCAAGGGTGTGGAACATCAAGGACGTGTTGTTCATAAATTTAAAAAAGAGGATGAACATGTCAGCACATGGCAGGTTTTCCATTAAGCCCACATAATTTGTTTCAACCCACTTTCTTGGCACTGGCTTGACTCTTCCTCCCTATCTCTAGGGGCCAGAAAAGATTACAATGTTCAAAAGTCATGTAAACTCTCTGTCCTAGTTTCATTTCTGTTTCTACGATAAAATACTCCAAGAAAAAAAGCAACTTTGGAAAGAAAGGGTTTATTTGACATCCATAATGGGAAAGTCAAGGTAGGAATTTAATGTATCACAGAATGGCAACAGTCAAGAGAAGAGACAACAGACACACAGATCCTTGTTTGCTGGCTTTCAGCTAGCTTTTTCTTCTCTTATATTGGTCAGCACCCCTAATCCCAATGGACTGGGCATAGCCTATTTATATCAATTGATAATTAGGGTAATCACTCATGGACATGCCTGCAGGGTGACTTGATCTAAATAATTTCTTTTTGAGAGTCTCTTTCTAGGTGACTTTAGGTTTTGGCAAATTGACAGTTTAAAAACTAGCCAGCACACTCTCCTTCTACTTAGTAACCAAGACCAGTTGTGCGAGGCTCTTTTGCTAGCTTTAAAAAATGATGAAACTGTACCAGTCCCTCTATGTGCATCACTTACCTCAGTTGTCTGAGGTTAGGGTTCTGGGTCTCAGCAATAAGGTCTTCGAAGTCAGTGTGTCTGATCATCAACTTCTGCCACCTTCTGCCCACCAAAACCCTTACGCCTCGGGTTAGCTTTCTAAAAGAAATATGCAGATGTGTGAATGCATACAGGCTTTTAGCATTATAGATATTCTACCTAATTATAATGTCCTATGTCATCATTTCATATTTAAACTATTTCCAAAAAGAGAACCAATAGACCTGAGTTTGATTTTGTCAAGAAGCATTTGACAGATGGAGGCCAACATGTAGGGAGACAATAACATGATCTAACTTGCTCACCACCATGCACAAGACTCCCTATAGTCTAGGCCTGTATGCCATCTCTGGTTTCATATTCCATCATCTCTGGTCTCTACTGTTGACCTTCCACCTGTCCAACTGTTGTTCACATCCCTTGCTTTAGGGATAACTGGGCTTTGGAATTCTTTCCTCCATTCATTTTCCTTGCTAACCATTGTTCAATAGGCTCTTCTCTAGAGCCTTCCTTGGACCTTATTTAAATTTGACCCAACCAGTCCCATTATCCTACTTTCTTACTTCTGCTAACCTCTACATGACCTTATTTTGTGTACCTGCTGACACATTTATTACTCTGTTCTCTTTCCAGCATGTAAGCTCCATGAGGACATGGATTATTCCAGGGTAGATGTGGACATATTATCTATTGAGTTCATATAGGGCACTGATGACAAACAAGAGATTCTACCTCAGTCTAACTTATTGCAAGAGTAGGGTCCACCTCAGCATGGTTGTGACGCAGGAAAGTCATATCCCGTAGAGCTCTCTTGTACAACTTCCTTGAAGTTCTGCTGATTGGAGAGTCTCCTCCCTCCAACAGTTGTTAGCGTTCATGTAATCTTCGGGAAGGACCTTTCACACAGCAGGCTGTTCTGCCCCTACAAGTTTCTCATGCTTCATGAATCTTCTGGCCCTTTCTTTTCCCTCCAGGAGAGAATGTTTTGATTTGGAGGAAAGAATACAAGGGAAGCCCTGCTTGGTTTTCTTGTTGTTGAACCTACTTATATTAGATGCTCTATAAGGGAGAGGGGAAAAAATCTCACAAAATTGAGCAGAGGTTGAGAGAGAGCATATAGGGTCTGTTTTTAGTGATCCATATGATGTATTTATTGCATTGATGAGCATGGTTCTAGATAATGTAACTGGCTGGTGTTTATTTCCTCTTGATTTCAGAGATAGCTGGGTCAGTCCTACTTTCTTTATTTGTATCATTTAATGAGCCAACTCAGAATGGGGCATATTTTATTGTCACTGGGAACACTCTCTTTATTAACAAGTGCTGGTTTTCTTATTTATGTTTATGGCTTTATTTTTTAAATGAGATTTTGCATTTCTAAATAAACTCCTTAACCAATTCCAGATCTCTTTGTATCGTGTCCAAAGAGAACATGTGTGTGGATTTTGACATGCAAATTTAAGTTTCCAAGAAGAGCTGCAGAGCTCAGTGGGAGGGGATTGTGAGGACCAGAGAAAGCAGGTCAGGGGAGAAGAGAGGGAGAGGTGGCACAGGAAGGAGCCCCTTTTTATGCCCTTCCTGTGGTCTTCAGATCTTTAGCACAACCTGCTGTGCTTATGGAAGTTTGTATGGAAGTGGAAAGAGAAGCTGAGATTTTGCATCTGTTATGATGTGTGTGAGAAAGTTATCTCCAGGAAATATGCCTGGAAGAAGAGGCATAGGTAGTCATAGATCCCTGGGAATATGTAAAACCTATATGGCTACCCTGTGACTCCCACAGGCCATAGAGTGAGAGCACTAGGGGAGTTGATCGAGGTCCTGAAGGTCATTCAAGTTATATATCAACACAAAATAACCAAAGTCAGTGGAAACTCATGACATCACTACTAAAATGATACTTCGAAGAGATGATGATGTCTATACATATTCATTTCTCTCTCCCATCATTAGCACTTCAGAAATGGACAAAGAGGTTGGAATGGACAAAGAGATCATTGCTACAAGTCTGTCAGGAACAGTTTAGAATGGTGGTGGGTCTTGTTCTAGTAGGGTAGAGCAGGGTTTGAAGGGACACCTATATCTGGTATCACTTTCATCCTTGAAGTACCCTAACCCAGGGACTAAGTCACCTCTTCATTCCCCATTTACATATTCGCATGTGTTCTCAAGGATGGCATCGTAGGGCAGCTGCCCAGTGCTAGCTCTTCCCATCTGCTTGGACAACATCTGGCCTCTTGAGCTGCCCTTTGAGAACTTTATTTTGTTATTGCTGTTTGTTTTGACTTGTTTTTCATCATGTCACTTAAACTTATTAGTAGAATCCTATTAAAATAAAAATGTCTTTAATGGGGACACAATTTCCATACCCCAATTTCTCGTCTTTTAAATAAAAATGTTAGAAAGATTTTTATGTCATTGTGAGTCAGCAAGCAATTTTGTTGCTAAAGAAAATTTATTTCCTTGCAACTGTTTTTGGATTTTAATGAATTTATAAAATAAAAATGCCTGCCTCAAAATAAAACCAAAAGCCCAGAGCATCGAGCTGAGCATGACAGTAACAGTTACATCAGCAGAGTACATGCATGAATGAGAGTAGATAAGTTTATTTTATTTTTTATTAATGTGCTTGTGTCTCTGTGTAAGGGTGTTTGCAGAGGCCAAAAGAGAGTATAGGATCCTATGGAACTGAAGTTACAGCTGGTTGGCGGCTACTCTTGTAGGACTGGGGACTGAACTCTGATTTTCTACAAGAGCAGCAAGTACTCTCAACCACTGGGCCATCTCTCCAGCCCCTACATAGGAATTTTTGCACATTAAAAATGGTAGAGAATGAATAGAGATTCTAAAAGGTAACCTGTCAGCTGCCCAGCTTAAGACTTCACTTCAGACAAGGTTCTTTCTAAGCAAATAAGCAGGCAGAGTCTTCCATAAGCTTAGACTCTAGGATCGTTGCTTGCAATCTACCAGCTGGCTAGAAGGAGGAAGCTGAGCATCTAAGGGATGTTTTTAGTGTACACCTTACAACTCCAGGAAGGCCCAAGAAAGCATGTTTGCTTCTGTTACTGCGGTTGCTGAGGACTGCTCATGTCCTTCTTCAGAAATGAGGTCCCAGAACAGCACAGTGCAGGATGAAAGTTAGTAACAAAGAATATATGAAAGTAGAAGGGGCTATTTGGAAGAAAAAGGGATTCAGTGGGATGAGAGGACCAGAGAAGGTAACTGATTAAAATTATTATTATTATACATATATGACACTGCCCCAAAATTTAAAAGGCTATAATAATTTTGAAAAAGGTATTTTCATGATAATACTTTTATGAGTGCACTGGCTCATGCCCTGAATTTATTCAGCATGTATTTGAAGATAAATAAATTATAAACAAACATAAGAGAAAACAAGTTAAACATATAAACCAATAAAAATATTTATGTCAAAAAAGTTTGGCATAATTCCATAAAGTTGGAGAATTCCTCCATCAATTTCTGTGTGTTCACCATTTAGTTAAGTTTTGCACTGGAAAACCAGACACGGTGTTTCTCTCCCTCAGTGAGTATTCATGGATACAGTGGTTACAGCTCAGGAGACAGCATCAGCGAGCTGCTGAGGCCAGCTCATCCAGAACTAAGTTCTTCCCTCCAAGGTTCTAGGTGTCCACAATCATTGACTAGTGTCCATAGGAACTAAACCTTCTAGATCTGTGGAGAAATGGACACAGCCATCATTCTGTTCTTTGCCTTTTCTGTCCTGTTCATGCTAAGAGTCTTTCAAGGGTTGGGGGCTCTCTGGAAGTTATCTGATATTGTGATTTCTACTTTAACAGTGTTTGATGGGCTCTACCACAGCCCAGCAAAGGTGCAGTCACATCCGTCCTTCGCTGTGAAGGGATGTGGAAGAGCTGCCTCAGATACTTGAGATCCGTGGCTTCTTCAAAGCAATGCGCATGAAAACATGGTAAGTACTTAGCAACGTGAACAGAAAAGTCCCTATAGACTCTAGCAAACATAAATGTTTTGTTTGCACTAATATTTCCATATTCATTTCTTGCAACTTTTATCCTTCCCTGGTCTGACTCTATTAACATATATCAGAATGTTTTCCAAGTGTTCTACGCTATCTCAGAGATATCTCAGTATCAGGGTATGTATGGATGCTAGTAGGTTGGGTGGTTCCTCTGTTTTGTATGGTGGATCTGACCTGTTGTATGTTTTTGGTTAACTCCAAATCATTAAGGAATAACATAGTGAAGTGGTACTTAAAATACATCAGAAATTTACCTGGCTGATAACTCTGTAGATGGAATTCTGTCTCTGTCTCTGTGTATTTCTCTGTCTCTCTGTCTCTGTCTCTCTCCATATTTATGTGTGCAGGTACTGCTATGTATACAATGTATGTTAATGACATATAGAAGTCACAGGTCATTCTGTTTGAGATATCATTCTTCAGGTGCCACCCCACTTTGTCTGTTGAGACCGAGTATCTTCACTGGCCTCTAGTTTGTTGATTTGGGAGCGAGCCCAGACATCCACCTCTCTGCTCCATCAGGGCTGACATTACAAGCATGTGCCACTGTGACCAGCTTTCTACAGGAGTTCTAGGGATTGAACTTGTGTCCAAAAACTTACAGGGAAAAAATATTACAGGCTAAGATATTTCTTCACCCTTCTTTGTTTGCCCATATGCAATTCTATTGATCATCTGGTCAGCTGTAAGTATAGTTTTCATTTTAAACTGTTAACAGAAATGGAAAGGGTCTTCATGGTTGGACCCTGAAGACCCGTAACTAGCAAACTCTAGTCTTTTTCCTCTCTGTACCACCATATGTTGGGAATGATAACTCCATCTTGAAAGCCCTTACGGAATTTGATGGCATGCAGAACTGGGGATGCCTGGCCTAAGACTGCCTCTTTCCAATTGTTAGTGACATTAATTACCAGAGAAAGATCTCCAAGGAGCCACTTCTGGTCTTCTACCAAATGAGTTTGGACCTGGACCTGTGGCTTACAATCCTGAAACATGAAGATGGGGGTGGGAGGCAAGCCCAGTAGCTCGAAGTGTGGATAGGAACCACTGGACCTTGTCTACGGGGGCCAGACTACAGAGAAGGCTGGTAGAAAATCAGAAACAGAGGCCTTTCATAGAGTTCCATGGCCAGGAGAACCAAAGGAGACCTGATCATATATTCAGTGGGGTTCTTCAAGCCAGGCTGTAGTGTTATCGTCTATTGTATTTTCAGTGTCTCCTAGATTTTCTCAGTTTTGGGGGCAGTTTGTCCACAGACTAATGTACCTTGGGCATGAGACCATAGTTAAAGCATGCTTCCTTCCAAGCTTGTGTTTCTAGTAGTCAAAATGTCTAGGCTTAAACTAGCTTTTTACATAAAAAGTCATAGATCTTGTGTTACAGCAGCATCAAATTCTAGCCTCATTACACCTGTGTTTTGCAGAAAAGGAACTGAAGCTTAGAGAATTAAGGCTACAAGGTCTGCTGGAGGCAGCTCTAGGCTCTACACCATTCATGCCTTTCGGTTGGTCTTGGTTTTACGTTCCCATACCAGATTATCTCTGTTCCTTGCCGTTTTCAGCCATGCAGCTTCTCTGGTCCTCTCACGTTTAGAGACACGGTCAAGGGTAGACAGAATCACTCCTAACTCTGATATTCATCAGTTTCCAGACTCTGTCCACTTATTGTGGGTCGGTCAGTTGATAATGACCCCTGAGCCTCTTCTATTGGTTGGAATGGAACACAGGAAACCAAACCATTTTGGGTGTTTGAGACAGAAAGTGACGTCATACAGGAAATGGGAAGGAATGAAGCATGAGAGGCAGGGGAGCCCCCCACTGGAGTGTTGCTCACTATGGCCAGTGCATGGGGAACTGACTACTTTGGCTATCTTTGGGTACCATGAACCTGGCTGTTGACACTGACCTGGGTATATGACCCCTACCATGGGTTCTTGATTGAACACATCCCAATGACTTTTCAGTAGAATCTCTGCATGGAAATATCCTCCATGGCTCAAAAATATAGAACAGGTAGAACCTCATTCTATAGCCACCTGGTGGCTGAGGAACCTGGGGAGTGTAGACTTGAACTGGCCTCGATTTGCAGGACAAGGAAGAAGGAGGGATAGACACAGGCTTAGAAAACAGATCTGCAATGCTGGCCACATATCTGACTTCTGCCTGCCATCTACCACAGCTCTTCTCAAGGTCATGGTCTTCCACTAGATGACAGCCTGTGTTGCTATCCGGTTTCTTGTAAAATGACATTAGCATTAGCAGACTTGATCCCCCTCCTCCCCAAGGAATAACATGTTCTCTGATGGGTGACCAGAAATTTCAGGCATTTGGGAAGATGTGATAACCTCATCCTGTCACCAGAATAGCTGAGCCCTTTGTAATGTGATCGTGTATAAATATTGTGGCTCACATTAGCTGCTTTAAAGCATCTTCAGAAATGAAATGTTTTGACTGTGGAGGGTCTTTAGAGATCCAGAGGGTTCCATGAGAGCCTCTTAGAATAGTCTGAAGTTAAATTTCTTTCTTCTGCCCAGAAACACACTATTCTGTTATTGACATGTGGGATGTGCTACAGTTCACAGCTATCTCTGTCTCTGTCTCTGTCTCTGTCTCTGTCTCTCTCTCTCTCTCTCTCTCCCACTCTCTCTCTCTGTGTCTCTCCATCTCTGTCTCTGCCTTTCTCTCTCTCAAAAACAAAAGCTGCTTCTATAACTGAATGGGACTTGAAGCTCTTCCATGTGGAAGACACATGGCTAGTCCTCAGCCACTTTGCCCTCTGTACGGCCGTATTTTCCAGAAGGCCATGAATGTGCCATGCTAACTGGAACTTTTCAAAACCATGAAGCCACTGACTGTCTCCACATCCACGTGTGTGCCCCCATTGCCTCCTCTGTGCTCACAGAGAAACATTTGGTTTGAAATAAGACTTTACTTAGGAGGGGAAGTGTATAGGATTACATTTGAAAATACAATTACTCGAAAAGATAAACCATATGCCATAGTCTTTGTTTTGCCTCCTTCGCAGAGACTTTCAAGAGTTCACTTGAAGGTATGTGGAAATTCTACTTCTCTGAGAGAGCTGGCGATGCCTACTGTAGCTTGCATGTAGTCGTCTGAGTTTATACCTTGATGAACTTACTGCTTAGGTGTCTTAGAGTCCAAAGATGGTCTTACTCTAGATGAACCCCAAATCTGACTTATACATAGCTTAAATTTCCACACTTGCCCCCTTCTTCCTACAGTGACCCATTGAGACACAGCATAAAAGGACAGAGAGAAACCTGCGTTTGGAGGAGGGGGCAGGGTGGGAAGAAGTAAGAAAGATATTGTAGTTCTGGTTTTCAGACTTTAATCTGAGTTGGTCACACCTATACCCCAGATCCTGAATTTCTTGTAAACAACTTGTTTTCCCCTGATCTGAGTGCCTACAGCTGCTCTGAGCATGAGACCTTCAGGAGTTCCTGATGGCAGGAGAGTGGTTTCTGGTGGGTTTGGCCGGGGCATGGCTATCTCTATATAATCTGCCCCTGATCACAATAAAGGGGGTATTCTTGGGGAATTCAAGGATGACCCGTGTTGCTGTCTGTGTGTGTTTGTGTATTTTAACCTCCAGCCCCCTTGCCTGAAGCTCCGTAATTGGGTTCAAGCACACAGAGCGCAGACACAGGGGCGCGGTGCACGGCAGCTGCTTTGGGTATGCACAGCGTGAATTTTCAGAAAAAGTTAAGGACTCCAAATGTTTACAGTCAGGAAGGACTACTACTCCATTACCACCGTCAACACTGTTGGAAAAGCAAAGGTCTGGAAGTTACATCACAGAGGCAGGCATTTCCAAACACACCTTTATGCAGAAATAAAAGAGTGCCATGAATTACTTAAGCTGTGTTGGGGCTCAGAGGAGGAGAGCCTTATTGTGCCTTTCTCTTGTGATGGGGACTTCCACAGTGACCTTTGTGATGGGGGGTGTGTGTCCTGACTTTCTACCTGTCCAGGACCATGTGGACAGGGCCTCTTCTTTCAGTTTGTCTTGCCAGAGTCCTACAAGAAAGGTTATCCCAGATGAAAGGGATGGATTAATCTTCCAGATGAGGACTGGGTTATCTCCTTAGCAGGAACCAGAACTACACGGGTGGCATGCTGGCTAGTTTTAACTGTCAACTTGATACAGCCTGGACTCACTCGAAAGGAGCATCTTGATGAAGAATTATCTAGATCAGTTGGGCCTATGGCCATGTCTGTGGGGGATTGTCTTCCTCATTACTTGACATAGGAAGACCCTGCCCATTCCCGAGGCAGGCAGTCCAGCGGAGCATAGGAGAGAAGAAGGCTACATGAGACGGGAGATCAGGCAGGCCAGGATCCAAGCATTTATTCTCTCTGCTCTTGAGTGTGAGCATGGTGCTTTAAGTCCCTGCCTTGATTTCCCCAGATTAATGGACTTTGGCCTGGACCTGTAAACTGTAAACCAAATAAGTCAGGCTGTTTTAGCACAAGAACAGGGAGGAAGCTTGACTAATTGGTGACAGGCTGAGTTGAGGAAAAGCTGTCAAAACTATCACATGACCGAAACAGGCAGTGAGGGGACACCTCTGATGATTAGGTTTTGCAGGAGTTTATTTATGTCTTTCATTGTCTTTTAGCCATTTCACAATCTCATACATGCCGATTAATGTGTGGCACAGCCATGACCAGGTGTCTGCCTATTGATTGGCTCAGATGAGTCTTGTCTCGACACATGCAAATGAGTTCTTTCTAGTGTGAACTGACTTCCTCCCTTAGCAGTGCAAGAAACTGTGCTGTCCCTGACACAGAAATTAGTAACAGGAAGGCTGCTCGTTTGTTCCTGGCCACTTAGCCCAAAAATAGCAACACAGAAACTATATTAGTTGGCCCATTAGTTCTAGCTTCTTATTGGCTAACTCTTACATCTTA